TATTGTCCTTAGAACAAAGACTCAGGGAGCCACCCAATTTACTTTGACTGAATTCTTTGAGGGAAGAACTTTGCCTTTTTGGAATTTTACAGTCTCGGCTTTCAGGAAAATATTACATTTATCTGTGGATATCAGGGCTTCATGTATACAATTAATAATAAACATAACTGAATACTAAGATGAAAAACAGTTTGCTATGTCTGCTAGGTGGCTAGAGTCTGTTCCTCAGAGCCTGCGGCCTATACGGTCTGCAACACGGGCCCACAGGGCCTCGAACTCCTGACCGGGTCTAGATGGTCTGCAACAAGTCCCCTCTTGATGGACATGTAGGTTGTTTCTGGTCATTTTGCTGTTATAAATAGAACTACCATAGAGGCTCTGCACCAACATTAGCAAGTATATGTGCGAGACTGTCTTAGCAGAAACGCCAGAGTAGACTGGTGAGCCCACCGACCCACCCACTGCCCTGGAGAGTCAGTTTCAATTCAGAGCCACCTGGTAGGGCAGAGTGCAGCTGCCCCAGAGAGTCACCAGGGCTGTGGATTGTTAAAGAAACAGACTACCATCATTTTCTCCTGTAGAGCAGCTGGTAGGCTTGAACCACTGAACTTCCGGTCAGCTGTCGACTGCTCAGCTCCACTCCACACTTTGTGGAGCCCCAGGGTGGTGTGTTTTCAGTACTTGTTGACGTTGCCATACTGCTCTTGCTGAGACTGAGTCAGCTTGTCCTCCTACAATGTCCTTGTCCCTTGTCACCCCGTTGCCAGTCTGGTGGGTGGGTGGTGACGTCTCAGCATGGTTCCCACTTGGACTTCTCTTATGAGTGGGATGGAGATCTGAAAGTTGGCCAAGTCTGGACAAGTAGTGTTCCTTCTGTTGGAGCTGTGTGTTATCAAGTTGATTCCAACTCATCACGACCCCTTGGGACAGAGTAAAATGGCCCCATAGCCTTTCCTAGGCTGTCGTCTTTACGGAAGCAGATTGTTGTTGTTGTTGTTGTTGTTGTTGGATATCATTGATGTGGTCCTGACTTGTGGAGACCTACGTACAACACTGCTCAGTCCTGTGTCAACCTCACAAATATCACCCTGTGTGAGGTCATTGGTGCAGCCATTATGTCAGTGCGTCTCATTAAGAGTCTTCCACTTTTCCAACAACGATGTCTTCCTCCAGAAACTGGTCTGTCCTAATGATATGTCCGGAGTCCTGATGTGGTGCCACAGGTTAATGAGCTGAACTGCAATGTCAGTTTGAACTACAAGATCGGCGGTTCAAGTTCACCAGCTGCTCCTCAGAAACCCTATATGGGGTCGCTATGAGTCGGAACCAACTTGACAGCACTTAACAACAACAATGACATGTCCAAAGTATGTAAGATGAAATCTCACTGTCCTGGCTCCTAAGGAACAAACACTCTGGCTATACTTTTTCCAGCACAGATTTGTTTGCTCTTGGTACTTTCAATATTCTCCACCAACACCATTGAAATATTGTAACAAATGGGTGAAATGCAGAAGTAGTGTACCAGATCTTTTCTCCCATGGGGTTCAAACCGGTGACCTTTTGTTTGACAGCTGAGCACTGAAGTGTTGCCCTTCCAGGGTTCAATTCTATCCATAGCTGAGTCAAGGCATTTTGGGTTCCTCTGGCATACATTGATGATCCTCCTTACTGGTGGTCTCTCAGAAGATTAGTTTCTCATCAAGAACATCTGTTAAAGGACATTCACAGTGACAGTCAGGCCACCAGGATTTGCCCCTTGCACCCCTGTCTCAAAAATCCCTTTAGCGAAGGGAGAACTCATAACCCAAGCATAGTAAAGCTCTCCATCTCAGCTCCATTATAGCCAACATTCTCAGTTCTCTGTCCACAGTACCTTGAAATAGCAGAATAGTTTATGTTGATTCAAGGGGATAAACCCACTTAAATATTTACCCTCCTCAATTTCCAAAGCCTTCAAACCTGTCCATGGCATTGACAATTGAAACTATGTTTGCATGGCCTTTACAATCCTGTTTTCCCTTTGGTTTTTAATCAAGTTTAATTGCCTTTTGTTGCTATGACTTCTACAGTTTGGGGTATGTGGCTCTAAGTGACTAAACCTGTGGAATCTGTTTTGACTCCTGGTGACACCTGATGTGTGTTAGAGTACACCTGTGTTCCATAGGGTTTTCAATGTTTGATTTTTCACAAAGATATCACCAGGCCTTTCCTCTGAGTCTCCTTTGGGCAGACACCAACCTTCAACCTTCTGGTTAGATGCCAAGATCATTCACCGTTCATCCCAGGAACTCAGCTGTCATTAGAATCTCTGCATTTCCATTCCAGGTCCTTCCGTCTCCCCCAATCCCGGAGACAACCCAAGGCTTTATTGGCTGGAGATCTGGGCAGCCGGGCCTCAACAAGTGCTTGGAACACGACCGTGAGATCCGGAGCTGCAAAGGGGCCTATGCCATGGAGTTGGGGTGGCCCAAGCAGGGCATCCACTAAGGGCAGCCTGGGCCAAGGGCCATGAACTCTGGGCGCCGTGGGCTCCCGCCCATGAAGAAAGCCCCACCCTCCGAGTACATTCCTCCCAACTCCGTGTTTGCTTGTGGGGTGTTGTAGAGAAACATAAAACACCCCCGAGACACTTCAGTTCATCAGTGCCAGTCTTTTAAATGTTTGGGTGACACACCCATTCTTGGCTAATGTGATAAACAAGGCAAACTAGATTCTCTGGGGGTTTTGTTCATTTGTTGGTTTGTTTTCTACCTTGAGAACGTCTTGATAAGACTTTTAAAAAACAAGAAGTGATTTATTTTGAAAATATTTGTCTTGGCCCTTTGTGTGGTACAAATGGGTAAGCCCAAAGGTTGGCTGTTCGAGCCCAGTTAGAGGCACCTTGAGAGAGAGACCCAGCAATCTGCTTGTGAAATATCCCAGCCTCGAAAATCCTGTGAGGTAGTTCTCCTCTGTACACACGGCAGCAGCTAACAACAACAAATAGCACAACCACAACCACATTAACATACCTTTTAATGGAGCTTCCAGCCCCAGCCCCCCACACCCCTGATTTTAACAATGGCGCCAGTCCCTTCTGCACCAACATTCTCCTTTCTGAGGATACTGGCAATAAGTTAACAGCTTTAAAGATGGAAATGGACTCACGGTTTATTTGCCCCTGAGTGTGGAGTCCTGGGGTGGCGCTGTGGGTTAATGTGCCAGACTGCAAAGCCGTTTGAACTGCAAGGTTGGCGGTTCAAGCTCACCAGCTGCTCCTCAGCAACCCTGTGCAGAGTCGCTATGGGTCTTGACAACACATAACAACAACAACATAAAGCCCCAGAGGAAAGGGGCTCCCCAGCTCTCTGTGAGCATATCTTCCACTGATATCTGGGTCACCCTGTCCCCAAACACGCACGGTCGGCTGGCCACCCAGCCTTGTTCCTTCCCTCTCAGACTGCAGTATGCACTGATATCTACACGGATGGTCCGTATTGTCTGTCTGTCCCTGTTGGTCCTCTGGCTTTTCTGCTGATTCTATAAGTTGGGTCCATCCAGCTGGCCAAAGAGGGTCAAATGGAAAGTCACCATGCCCTCAGATCCTGGCCCTGGACTCAAACGTAGGAGCCATAGAGGCTTGCGCTTGGCTTCTGAGCATCGTGGGAATGGGACTTGTCAGATGGTGGTGGGCAGGCTGGAGGGGGTCACAGCCAGTCAGACGTCCACCCTCCATGAAGATGCTTCCTTTCCTCCCTGGCCAAGCGCAGCTGTTGGTGGATGAATTTCTCCTATTCATGCTGCGTTAAATCTACCTAGAGCTGGAGAAACAGGGGCAGATGACCAATAAACAAGACAGTACAGGCTTCCTGGTGCTTACCTACTCATCTGCAGTGAACAGTTTCAATGGGTTTCACCACATCAAAGACGTAACACTGTTCACTACCAGACTGAGCACAACAAAGCCCATGCTTACTTTGTTCCCTGGCTCCTCTGTCCCTGTTAGGGGCTGTCAGTGTGAAAAGAGACTTCGATTCTGTAGGAAGGGCCTGTGAGGTCGGGAGAGAGACGGATGCCAACCAGACCTGGAAACAAAATCTTTGATGTGGTGAAAACCTAACATTGTTCACTACAGATTAGTGAGTAAGCACAAACCAGCTGTGCTTACCATGTTTACTGGGTCCTCTGACCCTGAGCTATAGGGTTTCCCATTGCTGAGACCCTCTACCCATGTCCATCTACCCAACCTCCCCCGTTCTCTATACTGTGTGGACAGGGACCCACTGCGAGCTTCCAGTCTCATGGCGAGCCCCCTGCTACCACCCCAACCCAAACACTGGCCTCAGCTGCTCTGCCATGCCCCTACATGGACCCCAGGACTTTAGAGACACCAAATCCAGGGCCAGGATTCCTACTGACCTTGGGCATCACCGGCCAGGCCTGGGCCCAGAGCCTCCACGTTCCAGGGCCCTGGCAGAGGTGCACCTCTGATCCGAGAACTTTGTTCCTTGTAAAAGTCTCCAAAGCTTGGTGTGAGCCACCAGGGGGCTGACTGCAGACACCTGAGTCAGGTCAGAGAGGTGGGGAGAGGGTGAAAAGGCTGAGAATGGAGCAAACACCTCCTCCCAGCCACTGAGCTGGTTCTGTCTCCCCACGGCCTCCTCACCCTCAGAGTGGAAACCACCTAGACAAAGAGAAGCAGGTCCCTAGGGAGCCCCCAGTCCTTCTATATGTGACCCCTAGAAAGAAACCGGTATCCCAGCCTTCCTCCCCTGCCCCACCACATGGGCCACTAACCAGCTGCCAATGAATCAACTGTGACTCACAGTGACCCCTTCTGTGTCAGGGTAGAACTATGCTCTATAGGGTTTTCAACAGATGGTGTTTTGGAGCCCCGATGGTGCTGTAGGATAAGCACTGGACTACTAACTGAAAGACCAGCAGTTCAAACTCACCCACCGCTCCCTGGGAGAAAGGGGAGGCTTTCTACTCCTGTACACATCTGCAGGCTCAGAAACCCTGTCCAGGGACACTATAAATTGGAATCCACTTGGTCTCGGTAGCAGTGGGTTTGGTCTGGGGTTGGTGTTCTAGACACAGGTCACTGGGCCTTGTCTTCTGAGGTGTCTCTGGGATGACTCGAACCTCCAATCTTTCAGTTAGCAGCTGATTACACTCGTGGCTTGTACCACACAGTGACCCCACTCACGTTGAATGAGAAATGCTAGGTAGGCTCCCTGTGGTGGTGCTGGTGGTCTCTCACAAGTTGATATTTGACTCATGGTGAACCCATGTGATAGCATAGAAGCCCCCCTAGGGTTTCCCTGGTTGTTGTGAAGTGCCGACGAATCGATTCCGACCCACAGCGACCCTGTATAGGGTTTCTGAGGAGCAGCTGGTGAGCTTGAACCACTGACCTTGCAGTCTGGTGCATTAACCCACAGCACCATGCCAGGACTCCTAGGGTTTCCTAGGCATCCTTAAAAAATCTTTGCAACCACAAAAATGGAACCCTTTCGGGCATTTCTGCTCTGTCCTATAGGGTCCATACCAGTCAGAATAACTAAATGTTGTTGTTGTTGTTGTTATGTGCCATGGAGTCGGTTCCGACCCATAGCGACCCTGCACAGGGTTTCCGAGGCTGTAAATCTTTACGGGAGCAGAAAGCCTCATCTTTCTTCTGTGGAACAGCTGGTAGTTTTGAACTGCTGACCTTGCGGTTCACAGCCCGATTCATAGCCACTATGCTACCAGAGCTCCTTGAATAACGCAATGGGTAATCTTTCCAGCAGAGCATCACCTGGTCTTACGCCCAAGGAGCCGCAGGGTGAATTCAAACCCTCCAGCTTTGGGCCGGGTTATGGTTGTTGTTATTAAGAGCTGCCAAGTCAGTTCTGATTCCTAACAACCCTGAATAGGTTTCTGAAGAGCAGCTGGCGAGTTTGAACCGCTGACCTTGCAGTTCAACCCGAGCTTGCAACCCAGTGTGGTCCACAGCACCACCCCAGGACAGCTTTCACTCACAGCCGACAGTATAACCAACCACTGCTAGGGCTCCTCTGTGGCTCCTCAGGTCCTGAGAAAATGCATACCTCCCCTCCTCACAAAACTCTTCTCACAGAGGATCTGCTTCTCATCCGTCCTGCCCAGGACTGTGTGGGATGAGGCCAGGTCACATGACCTGTTCAAGTCAAAGACGTTTCCCGTCACCCAGATGTTTAGCCTGGTGCAGACTAAACAACTGGATGCTTGGCCAAACCTGGTCCTTTTAAATCTCAGTGTTTTGGCATTTCAATTACAGCTGCAGGCTCAGCGTGTCCCGGTGAAGAAATGTACTTCCCTTCCTGCAATCAGATGTCTCCCCAAGGCTGAGCGGCCAGAAGAACCTGTCCTGGCTTCAGGCTTGGGATGACAGTCCGCACTGATGACCACTCAGGAGGCTGCATGCCCCTGCACTCAGAGGCGAACTAATGAGGGGGGCTTTTGAGTTTTGCTCTTGTCTTGATCACAGCTGAATCTGGGTTTCATCATTTCTGTTTCTCCCTGTTGTCACCAGCACAACAGTGAAAAACCTGGCAGACAAGAAGACCGGGGCATCATGAGTGCTCCCAAACAAACCCAGGTGGCCGGTTTGACTCTTGGGAGACTCTGGTGGTTGTTGTTAAATGTCATTGAGTTGATTCTGACCCACAGTGACCCTGTATAAGGTTTCCAAGGAGCAGCTGGTGAGCTTGAACCACCGACCTTGCAGTTTAAATGCCTTTGCAGTCTGACACATTAACCCACAGTGCTACCCCAGGACTGTGGGAGGCTCCGTTGGGCAGGTTTAACTCTGATCTCCACTGGCTGGCCGGTGTGGACAGGCAGTCCTGACTCTGAGGGAGTCTGGTCAGCAGATATTGTCAATGGTCACAGCCAGGCTGGAGAACTGAGCAGGGAGACCAGAAGGCCTGGTTGTGAGAGTTTTCAAAACTGTTCCCTACGTGCTGGTTAAATGCTGGTGGAGGAAATGGACACATTCTTACCTTTGTTTAAGAAATTTTCAAAGCCAAATGCATTGCCCTTGAATCCTTTTGACTCTTGGCTACCGTCATCTTTACGGGGCCTTATCTCCACGGTGGTTGGAAGCACCACGTTTTAGGGTTGCACTTGCGCACACACTGTTTGTGCCACCAGGGTCTGATGAACCCCAGTTCCTGTGAGAAGAAGTCTACAGCTAGTGAGCACACAGATGCATTTCAATATTCAGAATCACTTCCTGCTTTCTGCTTCCCTTCAATTTACAAGAACCCTCCTCCAAGTTTATGTGTTCTGAATGGATTTTTTTTTTTTTTTTTCAACTTTGGTTAAACATTTTTTTTAACGAGCCGCCATCTAGAAAACCACTTTCATGGTTTTGTTTGCTTTTTGACTCCAATAATTTATTCACCAACTAACCATAGACAAAAACCCACTGCCGTCGAGTGGATTCCAACTCACAGAGACCCTCCAGGACACAGTAGAACTGT